CGGAGTGGACTATGCCGGTCCTATTTCAATCAAATTCAACAAGGGTCGTGGAGCAAAATCAACCAAGGGTTACATTGCTCTATTTATTTGTCTCGCTACTAAGGCACTACACATCGAGGCAGTGAGCGATTTAACCGCTGATGCATTTTTAGCTGCTTTGCGTCGCTTCAGTGCTAGACGAGGAGCTCCAAGTCACATTTACAGCGACAATGCAACAAACTTCGTTGGGGGGCTAATCGAAAACTCAGCGAAATACAACGATTGTGGGCCTTCACTTCCTAAGAACGAAGCCGTTGCTCATCATTTAACTCAAGCATCAATAGAATGGCACTTTATACCTCCAGCATCTCCTCATTTCGGAGGAATTTGGGAGGCCGCAATTAAATCAACCAAATATCACTGTAAAAGAGTAATAGGTGAAACGCTACTTACTTTCGAAGAATTGACAACTCTATTGGCTCAGATAGAAGCCATTTTAAATTCTCGTCCGTTATGTAGTGTAAACAATACTGACATTGATTGCATTAATATTCTCACTCCTTCACATTTTCTTACAGGAGACGTGATCCTATCCCCTCCTGAACTACCTCTTACTAGTCCTGCCAATATACGGAATAGGTGGGATCTCCTTCAAAAGATGCGCAAGGACTTCTGCAAATCATGGACCAAAGCATATCTATCTTCTCTTCAAACCAGAAAGAAATGGAAGGACACTCAGCCGAATATGAAAATTGGAGACATCGTCCTGTTACTAGATGATGGTCATCTTCCAGGTTCTTGGCCACTAGGACAAGTGGTCGAACTTCATCATGGTATTGACGGACTAGTTCGTGTGGCCACGGTTAAAACTAAAAACTCTATTTTTAAAAGAAACATTCATAAATTAGCACCTTTGCCCATATATCAGGACTAATGCCTGATAGGGTGGGAGTATGTTCCGGTGCACCGGAACAGAACAACTCAACCTGACTCTTTCGCTTTTGGAACTATGCCAAAGAACATTCTTAATTCAGTTGAATAGTCAGACTCAGACGAACGCATTCGCAAGGCAGCTGGAATGCTGTCTATTCTTCACTATTTTTGTTCTGTTCTCGTATTTTAAGTTTTATATGTCATTTTCTTGTTTATACTTGTATTGTGCAGTTATTTAATATAAGTTTTGTGTTTAAAACGAGGATGTTATGAGTTCATTCACATTACATCGCAACAGACATATAAAATGTATTAAGTGGCCGGCATACTTAGCTAAAAAATTTTTTTCTTTTGAAATTAATTATATTCCCGACGAGAAATTTCAGCGTTTTTTTCAATTTCCAATATACACCAACGCATGTACATATCAAACAATGCAAATACACAAGAATTTAAAGCACATATGAGACCTTTAAGAATCGAAAAATGAATTTTACTGATAGGTGAAAAAAAAATAACTTAAATATTGAACTTATGGATAAGTCGAGAAATTTTGTAATTGATACCGTCTTTTTCTGAAAATAAGACATCCTCCAAAAACAAGCTCTATCGTGATTTTTCGGAACTTTTTGTAAAATAAAACATCCTCCGAAAATAAGCCTTATCGTGATTTTCGGAACTTTTTGTAATATAATTTGTTTTTGTATATAATTCAGAATTTTAATTATGACGATGTTCCAGAAGAAGGCATGATTGTAATTGAATAAATTTAAATTTCTGTATTCTGTGTAAAATAAATATAAAATAAAAATATATAAATATACTTTGATTTTTGCGCTTTCCCGAAAATAAGCCCTAGCGCACATTTTGGAGCAAAAAAGAAAGTAAGACAGTGTCTTATTTTCGGAAAAAGACGGTAGTAAGTTTAAATAATTATTGGGTACATGTCAGCTAAACGTCACTGTCGGCTTAGTGTCCTGTTGAATAAATAAATGTCTTGACAGTTAAGTGTCCTGTAGCTAAATGTGCTGATGGTAACTCTTTGTGTTGGCTAAACATCTTGTTGGCTAAGTGTCCTTGTCGGCTAAATGGCCAATCAGCTAAGTGCCCTTGTCAGCTAAATGTCCTGTTGGCTAAGTGTCCTTGTCAGCTAAATGTCTTGTTGGCTAACTGACCTGTCGTCTAAGTGTCCGCGTCGACTAACTGGTGTCGGTTAAGTGTCCCAGACCCCCCTTATATAGCATCCTTACACATGCAGAAATGAAGCAGCTATAATATTTTCAAAATGCTCCTAATTCCAGGGCACTCCTGTGTATCTATAATGCAGTACACAGTATAAGATCTGGACTCGTCAGGACTTCGGTGATTCCAGATTTGGGATTTTTCTAGATATTAGATCATGAGTTTAACCTTTTAACTTTCAAGTTATTTTTATGATTTGGGTACATAAATTGTCAATTTTTTATATTGCAAAAATCAAATGTTTAGTACAAAATAAAATATACTTAGTTGTTAAAAATTGATATTCTGAATTACACGCATAAAATGTTAAGGTTTTGTAGCCACTGTACACTGACTACCAATAAGTATTTGGACACCTGTGATAGAAAAGAAAAACTAACTTTATTCAAAATCAATAGTTGGTAGAGCCTCCACGAGAGGTAATTACAGTGTGGACCCTCCGGAGCATACTTTCCACAAGTCTTTGTATGACAGCTAGAGGTATTTTCTTCCACTCGGCTTGGAGAAGACATAGAAGTTCTTTCACCGATTTTGCACGGGTAGCGCACCCCTGAATTCGGAGATGCAACTCATCCCAGAGGTGCTCGATAGGGTTCAGGTCTGGACTCTGGGCAGGCCAGTCCATTCGATGAACTCCATTGGCACCATACCAAGCCTTGGTTAATGTCGAAACATGACAACTGGCATTGTCGTCCTGAAAGTAACAGGGGTCCAACCCGTAAAACTGCCACAACGTAGGAAGCACATTGTCATCCAAAATAGTGCAGTAGGCATCGGAGTTGAGCTTACCATGAATGGGGACCAAGGGTCTCAGCCCGTACCAGGAGAAACACCCCCAGACCATAATTCCACCTCCGCCGAACTTGACTGTTGGCACAATGCATTCTGGCAGGAGACGTTCTCCAGGTAGACGCCAGACCCAGACCCTGCCGTCCGAACGGTAAAGGGTGAACCCTTGATTCATCACTCCAAGGAATCCGTTTCTACTGATCTACAGTCCAATTTCGAAGTGCTTTGCACCACATAACCGAGCAGCGCGGTTGGACTTTGTGATCAAAGGCTTATGGGCAGCAGCACGACCATGAAAACCAAGCAGATGTGCTTCCTTACGGATGGTATTCATTGAAACAATACTCCCGGATGCCTGTTGAAACTCCTTGCAGATGAGGGCCATCGGTTGGGTGTGGTTCTTCTGAATTTCTATGGACAGCACTCGTCGGTCTCTATTTCCCAGTTTCGTTGGTCTGCCGACTCGGGGCACGTTCTGACAATCACCGCTCACCTTCCACTTCTTAATCACATAGGCCACTGTTGATTTTGGGTACTTCAGATCGCTAGATATGTCCTTTAAGGATCGGCCACATTTGTGATACTTGATAATTATACCTTTCTCGAAATCAGAGAGCTCTGAACTGCGAGGCGTCTTGCATGCGACTAAAGCCGATGCTGTTTCATACACAATATATAGCGGCGGAGTCCGTGACATACCTTAGGACCGCAGATATCGTCATTTGCATAGGTGTCCAAATACTTATTGGTAGTCAATGTATATTCGCTTGAGGTGGTTGGCACTCAACGCGGCAGTGGTAAAGTTCGCTTCTAATGAAGCATTATTTTCTAAAAATCGAAAATAATAAATAAATAAAAATTAATACCTATTAGTAATTCAGTTTTGTGTGGTATAACTGGAAAAATTTTCCAAGCACAAGGAACCCATTATCATCCATCAAAGATTCGTGAAAGATATGCATACGGAGGAGGTAGTGCTTATGTTTGGGGTGGTGTCTCTTCGGGTGGATGGACAGACTGCCGTGTCATTCCACAGGGAACCAGGAATGCTCAGGCCTACAGACTCACACTGTGGATGATTATCTTCAGCAGCAAAAAATTCAGCACATGGAGTGACCAGCTTGATCACCAGACCTGAATTTCACTGAACATGTTTGGGATGCTTTAGGGAGACGTATAGCTGCTCTCAGTCCTCCTCTTCATACCCTTGCCAAACTTGCAATTGCTTTGCTTCAGCAATGGCTTTCACTCCTATGGAGCTGATACCCCATATAATCAACAACATCACTGCAGAAGCTGTATTGCTTCTACACGAGATCAAACTCCATGTTGTTAAAGGTAATTTTCCTATGCCAAACTACAATCTCCAATTTGTTCATTTTACACGTACGGTAATTTCTATAACACCACATAATTGTCTGGTAATTTCCTTTCATATAATTTTATGGCTTACCATGTGCTGTATATTATGGTTCAGATTCATTAAGTTCTAGATGTAACTTTTTGAGTAATCATCATTTTTGTGATTTTTCCTTAATTAAAGAAAACCAGTGTATAATCTGGTGTCTTCCCACTTCCTGATGGGACATCTGAAAAATAATATTTTCTTCATCCTCTTCAACATCGCATGAACTTCAGCAAGACTGAAGACACTGCCATATGCTCTCCCTACACTCTGAATGTGGATACCAAACTGTGGTATGGTGTTAATTTGTCTGTAGCACTGTTGGTGCTTCTCGCTGTGAACGCTTGCCACTATATCCCTATATATTTCCAATCATGCATATCACAATGTTAAATATTGATGGTTTCATTACATTCAATAACTTGAACATTTCCTGTTATAATATCTTAAATATTTTTTCCTTATTTTGACTCTTTAAAACACTTTTTCAAAGTTTGGAGACACAAATTTAAAGCACATGTTGGTAGTTGAAGATCAAATTATGGACTGTTGCTATTTATAAGAGTTCATAACACTTTTAAACATAATATAGATTTAAAATCAATTTAAATATAAAAATATAGATGATTTTTAATTTAAAAATTATACTTACCAACAGCATTTTATTCCATGTTGAATCATCATACGAATGTAAACGTTCAACATTTAGTTTTAAACTGAAAAAATTCAAATTTATTTTTAAATTATTGAATTTTTAGAAAATACATATTCAAAATGAAATATTTATACATATATATAGTTTGTAAACATGTGTATCATACATACGCTGATTGTGGCAGAGGTGAATCAATAAGCATCACTGATGCCTTTCTTTTGTTTAAATTGCAAACCTGTTAACAAAAATAAATGAGATGAGACACTTGATTTTTTAAACATCAATTAAGTAAATTATAACATTTCAATATATAGCCATATGATTTAAAATTAAATTAATTACATAAGAAAGAAAAATGTTTGCAAATAGCAATGGAGGGTTGTTTTGGGTTTTGAGTAATTTTTGCTTTAGAGGACATGAAGGAATTGAAATTCATGAAAAATACAAGTAATCTCTAGACAGCATCATGTGTGTATCTGACATAAGCTCAATGATATATATATATATAAAGGAGAAAGTAAGAAACATTCTTGAAAAGAAACAACAAAGAAGTAATAGGGTACGCTAGCTTTCTCTATAACCTGACCATAGATAAAGGTACTATAGGCATTAAGTAAATATTAAATGGAATGGGAGACTAATTAAATAATATACTGATACACATGAAAAAAAAATCTGGCCATGGTAAAACTAAGATTTACAGAAATAATGACATAATAAACTCTGAATTTATGTTGTTTGACGTTAAAAAAATCTGATGTGTACACCACATGACTTCCTTGTACGGAATATTAAATTATATGCATTTTTTCTTGCATTTCATTTAAACTTATTGGATTGAATTAAATCTACTTCGCCGACAGCGCATAAACCACAATAGAATAAATGCATTCTTTAAAATTAACTCTAGTATTTGTTTACCATAGCGACACTCTGGCGCTAGGTTCACTTAACAGTATTAATAATTATATAACAGTTAACTTATATAATAATTTTATAACGGAAACTAAGTTAACTGTTATATAATCCAATAATTATATAACAGTTAACTCATATATTTCGTTCATATTATAACTCATAATGCACAAAATTTATATCATTTAAAGAATAGAATTATCTAATCGTTGCCACATGTTCTATTCAAATACTATAATAAAGCTAGAATGATGTATAAAAGAAATTAAGCAAAAAAAAAAAAAAAAAAAGAAACAGTTTTTCACACAGACGATTGAGTGTTTCTCATTTAATTAATTCAGTTCTCACTTCGCGAGAAGGCAAAAATACATAAAAACTCAAAATATCTATATTAAAAATTACGAAGTAAATAAATTTTAAAACGCTTATTTCCTCGAAAAAATTCCAGAAAGGATTAAGCATGATTTAATTGGCAATAATAAATGAAGGCGTTATCTTTGTTGTTGCGAAGCTAAGTTTCTCTAGATTGGCAACAAATCCACTAGTCTCCTGTTTCAAATGTAAACATCAATGGTCGCCATAAAAAAAAGGCTTAGCGGCAATTAAATAACTTTAAAATTGCTGATAATTCTAAAAATATTGCACACAGATTTACTAAAGGCATAAAATCCTTAACCGGAAGATAAAAACAACATAATTCAATTATTTTTAAAGCAAAAAATGTACAATTTACAAACATATAAGAGTAAAGAAACTGAGATCACTGAGCCGGGTAACAGAGTGGATATATATATAAATATATTTATATACGTTTGGTGCGACCGATTGCAACCAAAACAACCAAACTGTCTTTACGTACAGATATCACGCAAAAACATCGTTAAATTGTATTCGATAGCGGTCAAAATGGATATTTCGATGAAATATGCTGCCTGAAACTTTTCGCGATTACAATACTTCCTTTTTACTTCGTACAAGGAAGTAAAAATGGGAAAATTTTTCTAGAATCATAATGAAAAAAAACAACCTTTCACACTATTCACGTATACAAGGATTTTCATAATTCTTTTAAATCCTCCTTCCCGATGAATTTTTATTTTAAAAAAGGACAAAAGATAATCATAATAATATGCTTTGACACATTTTAAATATCCTACACCTAATCACACAAATTTCAGAAGAATAAAATTAGTAATAAGTATCAGAAGGTATACAAGTGCACAAAATTTCTAGATAATATAATATGAATGGACATGAGTCTTTAATTTTCAGTTTTACATGAAATATACAGCACTAAGTCAGAGATTCGGACATATTTGGAATGATCCAAATATGTTTTGCCACCAGCCACCAGTTTTTTTCCCCCTTCTTTTATTTTGTCTTTTTTTCCTCCCTTTCTTTCTTTATTTATTTATTTCACATCTCAAAGTGAAACATTCTGAAGCATTGTTGATTTTACACCAAATAATATTTTATATCCCTGATGCCAACCTAGCGAATCATTATTTATTGTACTTTGCTTTCATCACTGCATCTTCATCAACACGACAGCTTGAATAATGTTTGCAAGACATGCAGCAATACCTAAACATTTATATATATATATATTAGTATAACAAAGAGTACGGTAATCTTTTATGTTGACATCACGCTTGGTGACTGATAACAGATTTAAGTTAAATGCCCTAAGACATGATGACGAGGAAAAATTTTAACGTCTTTCCATACATTAAAAACAGATTTTGTTAATGATACTCATAGGCTAAAAGATTGCAATTAGTGCTGTTTGAGCTAAGAATAACTGATTTGTTATTTACAAAAACCCAGAACTTGTGCCAGAGCTCATATATATCCCTATATATTTCCAATCATGCATATCACAATGTTAAATATTGATGGTTTCATTACATTCAATAACTTGAACATTTCCTGTTATAATATCTTAAATATTTTTTCCTTATTTTGACTCTTTAAAACACTTTTTCAAAGTTTGGAGACACAAATTTAAAGCACATGTTGGTAGTTGAAGATCAAATTATGGACTGTTGCTATTTATAAGAGTTCATAACACTTTTAAACATAATATAGATTCAAAATCAATTTAAATATAAAAATATAGATGATTTTTAATTTAAAAATTATACTTACCACTGCTGCCACACCGGGCAGCAGAATTTAGACAAAATTTTTGGAACTTAGAGAAGCACCAAGCAGAACACAATTTTTTTTGAATTTAGAGAAACACCTAACAACAAAATTAAGGAATGGCAAATTTTTTTTTTAATTTAGGGAAAGCACTGGGATCCAGAATTTAGGGGAGGCAAAATTTTAGAACTTAGGGAGAGGCTTGGTAGCAGAATTAAGGACCAACAGAGACTGCATCAAGCAGTAAAATATCTAGCACTGGCCTTAATAAGCCTTAAGTATATGTGGGAATTTATTCATTTAGGACTAAGGTAAGCATGTGCAAGAAATAGACATAAACATAATAAATAACTAAAATAATTCAATTCAAGCTTAATTGTCTCAGCGATAGAAGCAAAATAAAATTTAATGGAACAACATGTCATTCATCAGCAATCTCATGATAGCTGATACTGAAGCTCCTGAATTGTTTGCAGATGAATTCATTTACAGTGAAAAGTTATCTTCAGATTCTTCAGTCAAATTTACAACACTGATGAAACTGATCTCTTCTGGCAATATATACCACAAAATACCTTGGTAAACTCTACAGAAAAATCTCCAACTGGTGTCAAAGTTTTCAAAGTGAGACTAACAATTATAGCATGCACAAATGCTGCAGAAATGCACAAGTGTAAACTTTTCGTAATTGTAAAGAATGCACGATCTCAGGCTTGTAAAGGAGTAAAGATTTTCCCGTTATATATCATGTAAGTAAAACAGCATGGATGACACAAGCATTAATGAACAATTGGTTTGAAAATTATTTCGTATCCAAGTCTCGGCAAAATTTTAATTTGGTTGGTTTACCTGATGACGCAAAAATTTACCTGATTGTAGTCAACTGTATGGCTCATACTTCACTTGAAATTTTATTGAACGGTAATGTATCCGTATTATTCTTTCTGCCAAATTATACGCCCATCATTCAGCCTATGTATATCGGAATAGTGCACACACTAAAATGCAAATATAAAGTAGCATTTTTAAGGTCTATGTTAAATTTCTTGAATACTGCCAAGACTATTCAAGAACTTTAAAAATATTTTAGTGGAACATCTGTGCTGGAGCATCCGAAGATTGTGAGAGGATGTGTCTCCAGATACTTTCAAAAGCACTTGTCATAATTTATGCCCAGCTACCATATTTCATGGTAAGGATGATCAAATTGATAGCCATGAATTTGAAGGTTTTAGGATATCGCAGACAAAAGATGAAATTTTTCATTTAATGGATTTTACAAAGAAATGTGAAGAAGCGGTAATAAATGAGGATGATACAATAGAAGTTTTTCATTGCAATGACAACACCCCAATCATCAATCAAGTAACAAATGGCGCATCCTGTAGTATGGTTCTGGATCCAGAAAATACTGCTACCAATAGTGAAGAAAATGTCACAGAGTTATCGAAAACAAAAAAATTTCAATTGAGAAGTTAGTCGGAATTCTTAACACAGCAGTTACAGGACTCGAAAAGTGGACAAGCAATTATGTCTGTTTACAGAATTAAAGAGAAAGCATTAGCACAAAAAACGAAGCAACTTAAACAACTTGCATTGAAGGAAATATTGGTGAAGTAAACAAATAAATATTAAGTTTTTTCATAAATTTTGATACCCTTTAGAACATAAATGCTTCGTTATTTCATAAATCATAATTTCATATTTTAATTTTAAAATTTTTACAAGCCATCTTACTTGATTTAAACTGATAATCTAATATGGGCAAAAATCCTAAATCTGGGATCGCTGAAGTCCCGACAAGTCTGGATCTCAGACTTTGTACTGTATTTATTTTACATAATTTCAGTACAGGATTATATCTGCCCCTGCACTTTGGGAGAAGAAAATAGCGATCAGTTTAATCTCAGCAACAGCAGCATAAAAAAATGTCAGTTAAGAAATTTTTGAAGTTTTATGAAAGTTTATGGTCAGATTGGAAATTATCCTTTTGAAATTCAGTGCTTGTATTGGATGAAATCAAGCCGCGATGTGAATATGAAAATAACATGTGCAAGATCGACGGACCAACATGAATGATGTACTAGCCTCATCACAACATGGAACAAAAGGACAAGCTTGTTGTGTACATAGCAATGATTGTTTGCATAAGAGTATTAAGAACCCTAGCCAAAG